CGCGGCCCGGGGTCACGCCGGCGGGGCCCGGGACCAGCCGGGCGCGGGGCCCCGGGGAAGCCCTCCGCAGAGGGGCTGGGTTTCCCCTCCCGACCCTGTCTTCCGCGCACTGATAAGCCCGAGGGGGGGTCGCCGCTCGGCCCGGAACTTCCTTTCACCTTCCCCTTCAGTTGAGTTCCCCAGAACCCGCCAAGGTCCAAGCCTCCGCGAAGCTCTCCGAGCTCTGCAGGCCCCGCTGGGCTCCGCCTGCCCGTGGTGATGCGTGCCTGCCGCGTTGGGGTGGCGAATCCCCCGGCCTGCCGCGCTCCCCCTCGGACCTGGGAGTGCCGCAAAGGCAGAACAGAGTCCTGGGCTTCTCTGCATACAAGGCAGCGAGCGCCGGCCTGGCCTACACTAGCGGTGCAAGGCCTGAGGTATACTAGACACTGTGCTAAGTTGCTTTTACAAGGATCACCTCATTTAATTTCCAAAGGCAAGGTGATTGGTACATAAGTGTTTTCATATATAAACACTCGTTTAATTGCACACTTATTATTCGTGCGTTTTGCTTAGGTAAAAAAAAAAAAACCTACGAGAGAAGCGCTATACCCATTTTATAGAGGAGGAAACTGAGTTTCAGAGTGCTCCTAACTCAAAGTCTCTACCACTGGTTGTGGTGGCATTGATATTAGAATGCAGGAAGCCTGACTCCAGAGCCAACCTCTTAACCCCCCTCAAGCTTAGGCTCTGCAAGAAAAAATTGCTCGTCTTAACCTTTCCCACCTCTCTTACCAGTAGCACCTACCCACCTCATAAGCCCAGCGTAGTACCAGTCACTGCGTAGGGAGGGGTTATCCATGCATTCAGGGAAGTAAGGGGAGTTTGAGCCAGAAGTGACTTCTGAAATCATACGGTTTATCCTTCTCTGCCTTAGAGCTCGGAAACCAGAACCCAAAGGGATGACTTACTTCACCTGCTCAAAGTCTCCCTTTAGATCATTAGAAGATATTTTACTCTTCCTCCAGGCTCACAAAACTATTCAGTGAAGCCGCGATTTGAGCCTGCGGGTGGGGTGTGTCTCTTCCCCTGCAGGGGGAGCTCAAAGAGAGGTGGCTGTGTTGGTCAAGGGTTTTCACCCTTTGAGGGCCGGCAACTAGCAGTAAGGAAATCCTTTAGCCCAAGAAATGGGAGCTATTTATACCCAGAGACGGGAGGCTCTGGGGAAGAGTAGTGAGCCAGGGAGGGAGCTGGTTCAGTCTGGCTTTAAGTATCTCAAGACACGCAAACTGTGTGGAAGCCAATCCATAGAACCAGTTCTGTTTCCTCTACCACGGTCACACGCCTCTTTTCGAAACGGGAGAGGATGCAGAGCGGAGGAAAATGAATGTGGGGCTGGGAGGAAGCCGGGCATGGAAGGTGGGGATCTGGTGCTGGGAGCATCGAGAGGCCATGGCCCGCGGGACACAGACTAGGTTGGAGAAAAAGGAGTTGCTTACTTAGGAAACCCCCAGCGGAGCGAGGACATCTGCTCCCAGAATCTTGGGTTCCTAGAGCGCAGGTGATGAAATCCAGTTAGAAGTGAGCACTCCTGGAGTTCAAGGGCAGCCTCTTGATCACCTACCATACCCCTCAGCTAGCGAATGTTGGAAAAATGTTGCAGGTCGCAGATTTATCGTACACATCTCAGCTCCTGACCCCTCCCCTCCTGAGTCCTTGCTATCTCCTGTCTCCTGTCCCTCCCATTTCCTAAACTTTGTGCCCAGGGTATCAGGTCATCACCAAGTTCTCAGCCTCCTTTACTATGTTTTGAGGTGTAGGGTGAGGGGTAACAATCTCTTGCAGGAAGCTGTGTCTCCAGGCAGCATTGCAGGGTACCAAAGGCAGGGCTTTTCTCTGGGATCTCCATGGGTTGTGCGTCTCTGCGGGCAATTTCAGGTGCCTTGGCCCCGCCCAGGTGGACTAAGAGTCCAGCTCAGCATGTCCCTTGCCACCAGCACCCAATGCCGCAGCTCCACGTCACCGGGGCCACTGCATGTGCTGCGGAGGGTGGCATGTAAGGACTCTGGTCCCATGATCTCCTACTTACTGTGTTATCTGTCCCAGAGGAAAAAGATGTCAACCTGGTTGCCCATGACCTCACTAGGACCTCATGAGGAGCGAAAGAAACAAATAAATCTTCGCATGACACTATGTTGTGGTACTGGAAAGTACCTAAGACTCTGTGGCATATATGAGGGAGTGATTACCTCCACTTGGGTGGTTCAGGAAAGAAGACTGGCCTTGATGGGGGAGCAAGAGTTCACCAGAAAGATGGGGGTGGAAGGGCAATCCATATCGTGGGGAGGGGCAAGTGCAGAGGCATGGGGTTGGAACAGCAAAGCCCTGTTTGGACTGGCTTCCCTTCTGTCATTCAGGTATCAACTTAAGTGGCTTTCCAAAAGAACCGTCCCTTCAGCACTTGCTTCTAGTTCCTTTTTAGAATTAATCTACTTATTTTTACATTTACTTGTTTGTTGTCTAACTCCCTCCCCCCATGCACACTCCTTAAAATAAACTCCACAAGCCTGTGGACATCGGTTTTTTTTTTTTCACCATCCTCAGCATCCAGAACAGTGCAAGTGAACATATATTAGCAGGTGCTCAGTAAATATTACTGGATGGATGGATGAATCAGTGGTCCGAGGCTGCAGGCAGTGAGAAACGTGTTAGGAAGTGAGAATTTCCTCCCCAGCCCTTAGCCTAAGCAACTCATGGGAATATAATAGCTTCAGAAGAGGGCTCGCTAGGAAGGGGACTTGGGGGACACGGCGGTGATAAGGGTGTGGGAGGAGTTGTCCCAGCTCCAGGGAGGCTTAGGAGAGGAGGGAACTGGCGGCAAGTAGCTGAGGGACCGGCAATCTAGTGCACTACAACTCACACTGAACTCCAGGGTTTTTCTGCCTGGGAAGAGGCGAGGGGAGGGAGGGTCTTCGCCCCTAGGCACCGCCTCTCCAGCCGCCCGCTAGGCCCTTTTGGACCCGTCCAAGCCTCATCCTGGGCGGTCAGCGGGTTTTGGAGGATTCCCTTGCCTGCCTGCCTCCCTCCCTTCCTCCCCTCCTTTTTCCTCCTCCTCCTCCTCCTCCTCCTCCTCCGGGTCTCTGCGGATCCGCAGCCCGGCGGCCCCGCAGCAGCCTAGCAGCCCCCGCCCCCTCCTGTAAGGGCGAAATTGCTAAACTTGTAGCAATAATGACCCTGCATTCAGGCCGCCGACTCCCGCTGAACGTCTCCGCGCCGCGGCTGGCCGGCCTAATCAACGCGCCCCTCCTTGCTGCCCGCCCAGCCCCCGTCCCCCCTTGCCGCTCCCTCCCCCAGCGCACAAAAAGTGGGGAACAAAACCCCCGCGCATTTCTCCGTCCCTCTGTTGAGCAGACTGCTACACAAAGCCCCCGCTCTGAGAAGCAATGGGGAGCTCGGGGGGGACGTCAATCCCGACGCGCTGGGGTTTTTGTTCGCGCAGGGGACTTCGCCTTCCTACCACACCTTTTGTTCGGGACTCCAATAAAAAGCCATTCTTTCCGCACCTTCCCGGCCCGGAGCCGTCTTTCAGCGAGGCCCGGCCCCACAATGGCGCGGCGCTCTGAGGCCTCCCCATTCACCCGCCTTGGCACGCTCACAATCGGCCGTGTGGCAGCACAGGCCTCGCACAGGCATTCTCCGCAAGTGACAAGGAGGCGCATAAAGCCGCGGCCGCCGGGGGAGAAGGGAGGGCGGCCGAGGGGGAGAATTCGGCCGCGGCGGGGCGCAGCGCCCCTGGGCGCGCTGGAGGCCCCAACGGCGGCCGCTGAAGGAGCCGCCTTCGCGCCGCCTCCGGCTGGCCCAGGGGGCGAGGTTTCCTTTTCCTCGGCGAACTTCGAGGTGGGGCAGAGTCTAAGCCTTGGTCTAACGCAGGCCCAAACACTAGCCAAAGCATCTGGTAAAACTTGTGGGGATTACAAAGCCGGGGACCTCCAAAGGCCCTGAGTCTCCGATCTGTTCTTCCACAACAGTAAAGAGAAATTAATGAACGAAACCAAGAGGACGCAAAACTTGCAGCCCGGGGCTGGCCCAGAAGAGGCCAAGCCTGCGAACGCCCAGGAAAGATTGCTTTCCCTTACACACCTTTTCCTTCCCTACCCGCCCTGTTCAAAGGATCCCTCTCCACTTTTGGGGAGTGAGACAAAGTCTGTAGCCAATGGTTTGGAAATATTGCACCTTGTTTATTGACTCCTGTAGTGTATGGCAGCGGGTGTGTACACGGCGTGTGGATACAGTTATAGATATATTATATGTGCTGAATACAGAATACGAAACAGAAACGAAACCTGGTAACACCTCCGGTGGGCCACCAGCTCCCAGATTTGTTCAGCCCCACCCCCCCATGTTTGATCTTGCTTCGCTGGTTTTTCTCGCAGAGTTCTACTCCCTGACAATCCGGAGATCCAGGCCGAGGTATCTGCTGCGGAGGGCGGGCGGTAGGGAAAAGGAAAATCGACTGTGGTGTGACGCTCCGGGCCGCAAAAGGGGCAGAGGTGTCGGTAAGGGCTTGGGGATTTCTCAAGCCACGACACCCTTTTTTCTCTCCTTCATGCTTTTCTTTTTTCTTTTTGTCCTTGGGTTTTCTGTCGACATTTCGAGGAGGGCGCGGGAAGGCGGAGGGGACAGAGGGCCTTCTTGCTCTGGGAGAACCAAGCGGCAGAGTCCCAGCTTCTCGCACTCTCTTCGGGGCCAGAGTCGGGGCCATTGTCCTCCCCGGCACCAAGCCGGAGTTTCTGCCTCAGAGACAGTCTCCGCGTCCGGTCCCGGGGATCCTCCTCGCCCCTCAGCCCCCTTCTAGGCTTCGCGGGAGCTGTGTTCCGGGGCCCTGGGGAGCGAGACATGTGTTTTTTGTTTTTTGTTTTTGCTTTTTAACGAGAGGCCCTGGCCCTGGGATCCAGCCTTTCTCGCGCTTCAGTCCCGCGGTGCCAGGCTGCAGTGGGGCGCCCGCCGCGTGAGCCGCCGCGTCCCTACCAGGCCCGGATGCCCTGCAAGGTGCCCTGCGCGCACGCTGCCCCGGCCGTGGCACCCTGGTGCAACGGCTGCGCGCCGCCACCGCCGGCGAAGCCGCCCAGGTTGCTCACGTTCACAAAGGGGCCGCCTCCGGCCGCGCTGCAGGCGGGTTGCATGGCCGCGGCCGCCGCGGTAGCCCCGCCGCCCCCGCCGCCCCCGCCGCCCCCGCCCGCCGGGTACGCACAGCCGTAGCTGCCGCTGTAGGCCGCGGCGGCGGCGGCGGCGGCGGCGGCAGCGGCGGCGGCGGCGGCCGAGTTCCCATAGCCGTAGGCGGGGAAGCTGTTGTAGGAGTAGGCGCCCGCGCCCACGCTGTAGGGCGCGCCGTAGGCTTGCGCGCCCGGCGTCACGCACGGCTTGCCGTCCCGCACCAGCACCGGCACGGCCACGCGGCGCGGCGGCGGCGGGGGCGCGTGCGCGCCCAGCTCCAGAGACTTGTCCTGCCGCTGCCTCTTGCACTTGTACCTGCGATTCTGGAACCAGATCTTCACCTGCGTGGACGTGAGCTTCAGGCTGCTGGCGAGGTGCTCGCGCTCGGGCGCCGACAGGTACCGCTGCTGCTTGAACCTGCGTTCCAGCTCGAAGACCTGGGCTTGCGAGAAGAGGACCCGGGGCTTCCGGCGGCTGCGTGGCTTGGGCCTCTCGCTCTCCTCCACCGCCTTACAGTCTCCGGCCGTCTCCAGAGGCTTCTTCAGCTGGCAGCTTTCTGCGGAAGAAGCACAACAGCGTCCCTCAGCTTAGTTCCCCGCCTAACCGCGGTTCCTATCCCAGAGCACTGTGGCCCTTTTGGTGGCAGCGCGGAGCATGCGGTAGTAAATGCCTGAACTTTCTGGAAAGTTTGTGGTTCCTGGCGCCATGGGACCCTGCGACAGCCCAAGTACCCTCAGAACGCCCGTAGCGGGCAGAAGCGTGTTCCATGGGGAGGGGTAGTTAGTGCGGGTTTATTTAGAATTTGAGCATCTGTGAGAAAGAGACTACTAAATGTGCGGCTCGGCGTGCTAATGACTATTTTCAGGATGAAAGTTTGCAGCTACGTAACAACTAGAGTATTTGCAAACTCATTTGCTTTACAGATAGCTGAAGGTGTGAAGCATATTGGTATTTGGGGGCCGGTAGGCGTGAGTCGTGTGAATAAATCTTTCTGTTCGGAAATGCTTGAGTGTAACGCTCCTGTATTGCCTAGGAACTTTTTTTTTTTTTTTGCTTTTAAAAGACAACAGGCCTCCAGCTAAATGTCCGCGTGACGATGTCTGTGTTACCTTAAAGAGAAAAAGAAATTTGATTGATTTATACCGTTTCGTGTCGATTTTAGGCCCAGGGGAATTGTCAGGAGTATAGGCCTTGGCTGCCGCCCCATCAAACCTCCTCTTGGGGAAGAGATTCTTTGACTCTCTCCCCTCAGAAACAAACACTTCCTTGGGGGCTTTATTCAGTTATCCGATCTCCCTACGCAGTTCACCTCCCGTCCCATGTGAGCGGCTGGGATCTAGGACTAAGTTTGCGTTTTTCACTCGGCCTGCAGCCCCACAGCCCAGGACACAAAGCATAACGTTATGAGTTTTCAAAAAAGGCCAGCTCCTCAGGGGTGTGAATGCTATGCACGCGGGTAATGGACTGTGTTCCCACGCACTCCCCGACCATCCCCGCCCTCTCCGCCGGGTGCTGTGGGTGCCGGGACACTGAACTCCAAGCAGAGAAGTGAGGAAACCACCCAGCTGGTCTCTACCAAAGTTCCTGCGCCCTGCCAACACAACCTGCCTGGATCGTCTTTTTGGAGAAGAGGGGACGGCTGTCCCGGCCTCAAAGACCTCGTCTCGCCCTAGGGGGAAAGAGGAAGAGATTTGAGCTCTTGTCTCTCTGGGTCTTGGGAAGAACAAAAATGCTGTGAGTTGTCAGAATCCAGCATGAGCCCGTGTTGCTTATCAGCGTCAGGGCAGCAAGAACTACTTTCCCTTCCCTTGGGGGCTTGCATCGCCTCTCCTGTCCCGGTGGAGTAGTTGTCGGGGTCACCTCGTCCTTCTCCCTCCGCCCCGGCTCCCTCGCAGGCACCTGTGCTTTGCGGAGCTGTCGTTGACCAGGGTGAGGCATGACCCCAGGCAAAGGTTAAAGGGGCGGGAAGCAGTGCTGGCAAGGTTTGTGGGCTGTTTGTGGGCGCTCCGCCATTGCTCCAGATGTGCGGGTGCGTTTTCTTTCCCCCTCTACTCACTTTGGCTCCGGTCCCTCACGACCTCGGGCTCCTCTTCATGTTCCTTAGGCCCGCTACACGAGTCTCGCAGGACTGTGTGGACATAGCTCTGGGGACAGAGCCCCGAAGCCCCGTGGCCGTCGGCTGTGGCTAGTGAGTTCAAATAGGACAGTTTCTCGCCCTCTTCTTCCTCGTCCTCCTCTCCTCCGTCAGAAAACTGCGTCCCCTCGGTGGCGGCCAGCATGCACGGCGCCGAGTGAAAGTGGTGCTCCAAGTCCGCCTGTAAGTGCGCGCCGTGGAAGTGCTGTTGCTGCTGCTGCTCCAGATTCAAAATGTCTTTGACTGAGAAAGGGGTGGAGGTGACCGGGCTTGGTAACATCATCAGGGCCACTTAATTGTCCAGTCCAAATACTCAATAAATCCCGGCGGGGGCGGGGAAGCAGCGCTGCGGCTCCAGCTCTCCTGGACTCTGCCGCTGCTGCCGAGTCGGGCTTTTGACAGACGCGGTCCGGCTCCAGTCTAAATCGCCTCCATTGGCCCGGACCTGGGGGTCTGGGTTTTGTTACAGCCACTGCAGGGACTGGGGCCGGGGCTGCGAAGCCTGTGTCCGGAGGTCGTGCGTCACGTCGGGGGCGGGGCTCTCGCCTCGGCATCCCTCCCCATTGGTTCCGGCTCATGTGGACCACGCCCCCCGCATCCACTGAGTGGGGTGCTGTGGCGCTACCAGAAATAAAGGACTAGTATAGAGTCGCGAAGTCCAAGTCGTTGTGGGCGAGGCGGCACTGCCCCGGGTACCCGAACGACCGATTCCCGCCCCGCCTGGCCGTACCTTCCCGGCCACGGCCAGTTCGCGGAGGCTTCTTGTCCACGAGCCAACTGCCGGGAAAGATGGCCCAGGAGCGTGGTTTTTCCAGCTGCTGCAGGGCAAGAAAACTTCCTGGCCTGTAAATACCGGCCTCTGGATTCCCAAGAAGACGGAATGTTTTGGGTACCAATGGATGGGCAACGTGTCTGTTCCCGACTTGTTGACTTTGCTCGAGCTGTTCCTTCCACTTGGAATGTCTTCCCTGCCCTTGTCTCCATGAGTGGAAAGCTGTTCTCCAAGGCTCTGCTCAAATACCACCTCCTGCAAGGAAGCGCTCCCTGATCGTCTATCCGGAAGTCATCTCTCCTGCATCTGAACTTGCAGCGCATGTTAGTAAAGGACATTCGTGTCACTTATCACTTCCCACCTAGTACTAGATATTGCCGGCCTGGTGGCCCAGGGTAAACTATGAGCCCCCCGCCCCGGGGGGGGAAGGGTCCCGGTTGCATTTGTCCTTGTAGCTCTTGCAGCTGCCGCACTAAGCAGGTATGTGAGAGACAGGAGGATGGTGTTCTTACTGAACTTGGTTGGTTGACAGGTCTTGGTTCGAATCCTGAGCTAGTCGGTGTGTGGCCTTGGGCGTTTCTAAGCCGCAGTTTCTTTGTCTACAAAAAGGAATCCGTAATACTTCTTCAGGGGTGGTTGCCAGGGATAAATGACAAAACATGTCAGGAGCTTAGTGCAGGGCCCCACACATGTTAAGTGCTCAGTACACCTCAACTCCCACTATTCTGCATCAGTGCTTGTTGACTGCATTGGTGCTGGCGTGGCTGGAGTGCTGCACACATTGGGTGGCCTCGTAGGGTCTTGAGAGCAGTATCTGTCACAAGGGAGTTGACCCAGCCATGGAGGCCTTCTTCTCTGCATATTGAAACCGGGGCCCTGGATCTAGGCCTTTACCCTCGGAGGTGTCTGATTTCTCCAACCTATACGTCTTCTGGCGCCCTCGTGCGGCCCCCGGGTGTTTTCTGGGCGAATCTGTGGGGTCCCCTGACGTTCTGGGAACTCTACGTTGGTGGGGATCACCTTCCGCACGATAGGCGTTCGCCAGCCGCCACGCCTCGCCAGTGAGGAGCAGCGGTCGCTACTGTGAGGCCCACAGAAAGACCCAGGCGCAGCACTGGCCTTGAAAAATACAGAGACCGGTTCCAGCCTAACCGAGGCACCCGACATCCGCCCCCGGCCGCCCCAAGCACTTTTTGGCGGCCAAGATGGTGGAGCGGGGGTGGGGGTGGGGGGGAGACCGGTCTCAGCTGGCAGGGGAGGGTGAAAGGTGCGGGGACTGTGGACAACGCCCCCGAGCGCGGCACACACGGGATGGAGTGGCGGCGAGAGTGGCGACCTGCCCTGCGGGTCCCGCGGTGTTGGGAGTTGTGGGTGCCCAAGGCCAAGGAGAGAAAGGCGGGAGGGGAGAGAGGCGGGGCTGTTCAGGAGGGAGCGGAAATGGTGCGGGGTGTCAGCCTCTGAGGCCGCCCGGGGAGCTGGGATGCGGCGCGGGCCACGTGCACCCGGGAGTACTTAGGGTGGCGGCGACCGGCGGGTGGTGGGAGAGACCCTCTGTGGGCAGGACCTTGCACTGGTACACCCGTTCTTCAGCCGCAGGGCCGCCCGGTGCCTGTCTTCTCGGCATTGAGACTTTTGACGTCCCAGGAGGGGCCGGCGTCTCCAAACCAGGCCAGGGGCAGCAGAGAGAAGAATGCGCCTGGTTTTGCAGCGGATCGCAATCCCTCGGGCGCAAAAGATCCAGAGAGAGGTGGGGGTGAGTGCGCGGCACTGTGGGGTGGGGGTCCTAGTGGGTGTGCGTCGCATTGGCAGGCAAGCCTAAAATAAGGAAGCTGTGCTCCAACCCCACTCCTCCACTCCCATCCCCCCTGAGCTAGACCATCTCGGAGAATGTTTCTGGTTCCCAATTTTTTCCGCCTCTTTGGGTGGTGTCCTTTTTTTGTTTGTTGTTTTGGGTGATTTTAAGAGAAAAAAAGGTAAAAGACAAAAGCTACCGAAACTTTCTCTCCCCAGTTTCCAACGAAGTTTGCATTTCTCTTTGCTACAGTCTCCTGCTTCTCCGCAGCTCTTCGTTCTTAGGCCTTCCCTAAGTCCATCCCTAAAAAACCCCATCTTAGAACCCGTGGCCAGGGGCGCTGGGAACACGCCCACACACCCGCTGCTGCTGCTGCTGCTGCTGCCGGGAGTGCACCAGCTTGCCTCTTCACTGGGTACGAAGAAAGCTGTCTCCTCCCCACTCGCAGGCCCGCGCAGTCCGCTCTCCCCCAAACCCACTGCCACCACTACCCCGCCAGGTACACTTGTGCCAGGCTTGAGTGGTTCTCTCTTGCAGCTTCTGACAAGATTGCTCCTCGGCAGGCCTCCCAAGGGACATAGTTCAGGCCCGACCGGCTGGAGGCGTGAGGATCCAGAGCGTGGGCAGCACAGGGGCCTAGCGTGCCCTGTCCCCCCTTTCTCTTCTCATCCCTAACCCTGCACAGGGCCGATCTAGTGGGCGGGAGACTTCCACCCGCTACTTAGAGCTGATCTTGGCCTTATGATTCGAGCTGGGGCTTAGGTCGTCTCCAGATGCCTTCCTCCTGGTGGTTCAGGCTCCCTTCGGTCAGTCTTGGTTCCGCTACAGGGGAGTTTCCTGCCAAGGATGCCCACCAGGTCAATCCCATCTAGGCAGCCTGCCATTCCCGCGCTCTCAGCCTGGACGGTCGTGAGCGTGTGCGAGGCCAGCTTCGCTCCGATGTCCGGGAGGACAATGCCAGGGCTGTAGATACACTACAGCAGCCGGGTTCTCGGGAGTCACTTATCAGAATGTGGAATCTGGTTCCGACGCGCGTATCCAGTTACGATCGCGTTCTGGGGCATTTGCATTCTCTTGTCGGAAAAGAGGATCTTTGAAATCTTGGAGTTGTGCTCGACTAGTAATAGGTTTTTGTTCCAGTCAGTTTAGCTAATTACTGTCAGATAAATATCGCTGCAACCAAGGAAGCATTTGATGTTATTTTAATCGAGTGTATCTGCCTACCTACCTGCGATTTTGTCACATTACACATTTATGCAAATCCCCCTCTGCCCATATATGATCAAAGAGCATAGTAAAATGATGGCAAATTCTATGAGGGGGAAATGCTGTATAGATGCATAAGCAATATACAAAATTATATCTTTTTTGGAGAAAAGCCACATGCTAACCATTGCAATAAATATATTATCAAATTAAAATATGATTATTCCTTGAAAACTATAAAATGTTCCCATAAGTTACTATTCTCTACACAAAAATTGTTTAATACACATAGAAATACAGGCAGATACCGATTATTTTCGTTATATGGGCCACTACTTATGTTATTACCTTTCAACTATTCAAATAAAGATTTAATTGTGTAACCACGGTCACAAAAAAGTTGAAAGTTATCACGGCTTCTAATCTAAATGTAGCACCACAGTCAGAAGTAATTGTCTATTAAAGTGTGAGAAATAATCCCGCGACGAACACAGCTAGCCAAAACTATAGAACATTGCAGGTAAATTTTTTTCATTGCATGTTTCATTTTTACTGCTCTTCTAGAAATGTCATTCAATGACATCTTACCCAAAAAAAAGACATTTCTTCTTTGGCAGTAGCACTAAATAGGTTCTTGTTATTTTGTTGTTGTTGATGGTGGTGTGTAAGTCCGTGTTTTGGTTTGGTTTTTAGTTGAAGGATATTGGAAAGCTCTCCAAAATTTTTGAGCAATCCAGAGGCAATAGTATTTTGTGAGAAGGGTAAATACTTTTTCTACTTTTAAAGAAATGTCAAGTAGGGAGGTCAGTCCCAGAAAGCATTAAAATCATCTAATTCCTTGAGAGGAATTTTTTCCAAGTTTTGGTAATTTTGTAAGAGAGATTTTAAAATGGATTTTTGAGCATTTAGATTTTTAAAAAATTATTTTGCATGTGTTTGTATAAATGTCAGATTTCCCCCAGATTGTATTTGGAACGGAGTTTTCTAAATAACCCACCACTTCCCTTCCCTGGTAGAAAATCAGTCCAAGTTCAATAATGCAAGTAGTTCTTTGTAAATTACAGGCCCTTACTGAGGAAGTGAGTTTCGATTTCTCAAGGAGAGAATCTTCCACATCTATCTTATGTGTATCTGCCCCACTCCAGAAAATGTGAAGATAATGTAAATACAATGTAAATACAGCTTTTGTCAACAAAACCAGTTCTGTTCTGCTGATAAAACACACAAGAAAGCCTAACTTTGTCGAATGAAAATTAAGTATTTTTTTAAAACAGGAATACCTACATAAAGGATGCCTATACAGACATTTATTTGTGCTATTTGCATGTACTATTTGGGAGTGCAGTGAACAGTTTTAACTTGGGGATTAAATTGGAATTCTAGATGCATTCCTTAACTTTTATTATTATTTTTTTTAGTGCGAGTTTAACTTCCTGTAGCGAAGTTTCAATGTCTATAGACCTTTTAAAATATTCAGAAGAACGGCTGCAGTCTTTGGCAGATTAATTCTTTGAAACCAGAGTGCCTGCCTGCTCTGTGCAGATCTCTGAGCAGTAAGGGTAGAAGGGTGGGGGAATGTGGTTATCGCGTTCCAAGAAGCAGAGATTCTTGGTAACTCTTTCTAGTGCGATCTTCCCAGTCCTGTCTGCTTTCAACCGCAAGCCACGGACCCCAGCTTCCTAGGACATAGAAATCTTTACGAAAATCTCACTTAAAATCGTTTGAGAAGGAAAAAGACTTTTCTCATTTGGAAAGAAACGTTTGCCACATTCTTGTGGCTTAATAAAAGTCTTATCCCGCCTACAGTGCATCCAGCCTTGAGGTCCCGGTCTTTGGTCCGCACTGGGGAGAGCGAATCCCAAGACTCAGGAGGAACGTTTGCTGCATCAGTGGGCATCGGGGTCGGCTGGCCTAGTCGCCCACTTGCCCTTGGTTTCCTGAAGCTCTGGGGGTACCCAACAATTCCCACTGCTCTGGCAACAGTTCCAGCTTGTCTGACTCTGCAGGAATGTTGCCGGGGCAGGGGCTGGCCTTGCTCAGAACTGGCCAAGGACCGGACCTGGAAAGGACCAAGGCCCCGGGCAGCCGCGGCACGCCAGGGCGCACAGTCCCAGGGACGGAAGGCACCACTCGCCTGAGGAGCCAGGCCCAGGTCCACAACTCTGGGTCTCTGGGTTTCACGGTTTTGCCCTGTAGAGACTCCGGTGTGTCAGGTCGGAGGTCAAGAGTTCGATGGCATCAAGGCTAGGGGGACTGTAAGGTTGCCAGGGCTCACTCCGCGCCCTGTCGCCAAGCCCGAGCACTCTGTCCACGCGGGCTGGGGCTCTGAGTGCTGGGCTTTGTCCTGGGCGCACTTCTCTCTGGCTGCGGGCCAAGAGCCTGGGACCTTAGCGAGGAGCTCCCCTGGGAGATGCGGGCTGGGTCTCGCCTCTGTCCTTGGACATGCCTGTAGGTTCTGGAACTCCTCTTGACCTCTCCGCGCTCCTGCCAAGGGAGAGAAATACTCTCTTACCTCTCGGGGCTCCTGGCACCCTGAGAGCCAGAAACCCTGCAGAGCCTCGGAGCCTGGGACCCCAGAACTTCCGTGGCAGTTCGCCTCTTACCCCTTGCAGCCAACCCTTTTCCCCTTTGAGCTCCTCCCTCTTGTACTGGGCCCAGCTCTACTCCTCTACCCCTTCCCTTCCTCACTCCCCCTTTCTTCCTCACCTCCTCCTGTCCCGGGCCTCCTTTCTCACTCCATCTCCATTCCTCCCTACCTTTCCCACTCTGATTTTTTCACTCTCTCTTCCTTTCCCCCCATCTTATCTCATCACGCCTCCACCCCCCTTCTCCACTCTGAAGCTCTCAAGCATTTTTGTCCCTGGCCCCTGCAGGTGTTTGAAATGTGTGCCAGAGGGGGCTGCACAGGATGGGGTCAGACTAGTTGAGCATGGCCTCTTTCCTGAGCCCCAGACCCCTCTCCCCTATTCTACTCATGCTCTCACACTCTACCTCAGGAGCGGCTCCTAAAGATGCCCAAGCACTTTTGAGTTTGTGATAGGCACACTCCTCTGCACCCTGCTCCAGCCCCCCAACCCCAAGCAACCTCTACTGAGGGCCCTGATGGGTCTGTGGGGCTCCAGGTGGCAGGCTTGGCCACCCTCCCTGTGGAAATCCCCGCTCCAGGCAGATCCTGCGGGGCCTCCGTTTCCTACTATTGTGGCAGTCTGGAGAGGATCACAGCGGAGCTAAAGGCAACAGTAAGGCCTGGGCCCCAGACATCCCTTGAGAGCACAGATCGGGGCTCCCAGATCAGGGCTGGCCCCCTCCCCCACTACACAGGAGCACTATCCAACTGAACTGATCTTTCCTCCTGTTTCTTTCCTGCCAGCCCCACTTTAGATTAGGGGCCTTGAGATCACCCCAGCTGGGAAGTGTTTCAGAGATTGCCTTAAAATGCAGGGGCCAAATCTGGGAGAGGAGAATGAGACCCTGGCTCACACTGGCCAGCAGGCGCAAGGACTGAGCACGCTGTAACTGTTCTCAGCCCACCTATAATCTCTTATCCTCTTCCTAGCTACTGGGTATGGGGTCCGTGGGGCCACTGAGTCATTGGCCTCTGGAGAGGAGACAGGGTCTGGGGCCTGATCCCCTGTGAGTCAGGATCCCCAGCTGCATGGTAGGCAGCTGGCCACCTCTACCCTTTTCCATCCCATCTGCAACCATGTTTCTGAGGTTGATGACACTTGCATCACTCTGATAAATATGGGTTTCCAACAGATGGACACAGACCTGACATGTATGTTTCAGTGGACTTCTCTTTCTCTTCGGATGAAAAGAAAGGTGCTTTCTTGTGCGAACACATTAGTGTGTGCACGTGTGGATGGGCATGGGCAAGGAGGCTCCCAGGACTGTGCCCACAAATGTAGACTCCATGTTAGGGCTCTGCTCTTTTAGAGAGTGTGGGCAAAACAGGGGGGCTGGGCCAACACTCATTCTGAATCCCTCTCCCTTCTTTTTCTTTCCCACAATAATGTGATTGCTGGTAGTGACATGAGGTTTGGAGAGAAATGTTTAAATGGTCCAAGCATAAAACTAGCTTCCACGACTATGCAACGCACTATTTCCATACGGGCAATTTATGGGATTGTTACAATTAGTCTTGTACAAAGTGGCCCCACGGGGATCACTGCAGTTAGAGAAGAGGGCATAGGTTTTATTACTAGAGTTGTAATGACTGTGTGTGTTCTTGAAAGTAATCAAACTACACTGAAATTATTCTGTAATTTAGACTTTGAAAAAACTTTACATGCTCCTCCCCCATTATTATAGGAGGCATGCAAACCTCACAAGCATCGTACCTATGACACCCTCTTCTGCAGGGAGAGCCCACAGAGTGAAGGAGGCTGGGTTTGGGGTGGGCCATGGCGGGGTGGGGGGAGACGTGGCTTTCTCTAAATCATGATCATACCTCCTCTGTCTGTCTTGGGCCAAAGCAGTAACCCTGGAGTCCATCAGAGGGGTTTGGAGCCCCGTCCTGTCACTTTGTCATCTTGTAACCTTGAGTCAGTCCTTCAACCTTGCTAAGCTTCAGTTTTCTCACCTACAAAAAGGAGATAATAATGGTTTGGACTTTATAGGCTTGCAGTAGAATTAAAGAAATGATGGAAGGAAAGCACTTACAGAGCTCTGAGCACAGAGAGCCAGGTAGTAAATGTGAAAGGGGACACGTGGGGTGGTGGTTTAGCTCAAGGAGGGAGTCTCTGAACCTCTCCTCCACTGAGCAGAGATCAGGGAGCTGGATTCCCAGGCGCTCCTTTTTCTTACTTCGGGAGTGGGGGGAAGCATTATTAAACTATCAATCAAATTTTGTGTGTATGTGTGTGTGTGTGGGTTTTTTTTTTTTTTTTTTTTGTCCCCAAACAAGGAGACCAGTTCTCTTAATCGTTGGAGTTTTAGGATATACTCTTGGGACCAACAGCCCCCTCTTAGCCTCCGGCACTCCCACTCCCCACCCTCTGGAGCTTCGGCAAACAAATCCCACACCCAGACTGAGCTTCCCGCTCCCACAAATGCATCATTTTTAGCAGCAGTAAACAAATCCCCAAAGACTCATGTCATTGTTATCATGTTTAGATAAAGATCTGGCCAATTGGTGTCCACACTGGAATGTAAATAAATCAGCTGCCCTGGACCTACCCTGGTGGGGGGCGAGGGGGGGCGTCCCTCCCCCACCCGGCCTCAACCCAACGCCCTGCGTTCCTGCTTCTCTCCTTTTCCCTTCTGGGATGGGAGAACAGCTGGCCTACGAAATTGCTTGGTTTCTAATCTTTTCACTCTGTCCCAGATCTGCTGTGTGACTTCAGGCAAGTCCCTTATCCTCTCTGAGCCTGCTTCCTTGTCTGTACAGAGGAGTTAATGATTCCTACATCTTGGGATTGGGAGGGAGCACTAGTAACTGTAGAAGAATACTGCTGCTAACAGTAACAACAATAATCCTCTCATAAGGCAGTGGTCATATAGATAACATAGGCCACCATTCAGGGCTTTCCTACAAGCACACAGTAAGGCCCCGTGATTAAGTGCCTCTGAAACAAATAATACATTATATGTTAAGAAGAAGAGAAGGAGAAGGAGAAGGAGAAGGAGAAGGAGAAGGAGAAGGAGAAGGAGAAGGAGAAGGAGAAGAAGAAGAAGAAGAAGAAGAAGAAGGAGAAGAAGATAGCAGGAGGGGAAGAATGAAGGGGAGTAAGTCGGAGGGGGAGACGAACCATGAGAGAGGATGGACTCTGAGAAACAAACTGAGGGTTCTAGAGGGGAGGGGGTGGGGGGATGGGTTATCCTGGTGATGGGTATTAAAGAGGGCACGTTCTGCGTGGAGCACTGGGTGTTATAAGCAAACAATGAATCATGGAACACTACACCAAAAACTAATGATGTAATGTATGGTGATTAACATAATTAAAAAAAAGAGCCTCCCCACTCACCAACTCATGCATAAACTGTCAGACTGTGGGCAAGCTGCCTTGGTGGGGCTGGGAGAGTCACGGGTATGAAGAGGGGAGACTGGCACTAGGCCTGTTGTAAACTCTTCTGAGTGTCCATCCTGGTTATTGTTTCTGCTTCTTGCAACAGGTCTTGTCTAATGGCCTCATTAATGTAATCATTATATAGAGTAAGAAACTGAGGCTCTTGAGAGGTAAGGTGACTAACTTGCCCAAGGTTAAGTTCCTTGCCTTTCACACTGAGCTCCCTCCCTTTGCTCCTCTCCCTTCCCTGGGCAGCCCCAGTGTTAGCAGGCTGTGCACCAGGCAGGAAGGGAATGCTTGCCCAGGCACTGTTCTCTCTGCTTTTGTGAATTCCTGCTGGGTAGTGGACAGCCCACCCCCACCACAAATCTTCCTACAAGGGCCCAGGCAGTCGTCCACAAGCCCCACGCCCTGGGACTGAATGAAAGCTGCCTTGAAGATAAGCATGCCTTGGAGGTGGGGGCTGAGCTGTGGAGCCCCCTCTCCTCTTCTCCCTACCAGCACCCCCTCAGAGCTGCTTCCTTTCTCCCCATCTCTGTCCTTTCTTGCTTTCTCTTCAGAAAGAAGAGGGGCTGCCAGCCCTCTGCTCTGCCTTCTGAGGCACCTGCCATGGAGTTCATACTAATCCTGATAATAAACCTCCCGCGGGTGAACAAAGCATTCCGCATGTGTGATCTCTTCCCTATTGTTACAGGATCCCCATGGGACAGATATTGCTTCTCCCCCTCATTTTAGAGCCATGGAAATTGAGGTTCACAAAAACGAAATGATTTGCCCAAGGTCCCAGAGCAGGTAAGAGGTGGATGCAAGACTTCAGGCTTGTGAGCTAGATGCCATTACAAGACTCCAAGGCTTGGGTGGGCTGGAGAGAATGCCCTACTCCAGCCCAACTCCAGGAACCTGGACTTCACAGCCACCTGGCCCCAAGGAGATCTTCTGCTTGAGCCGACTCCCTAGCCTGGAGGCCCCGGTTCTGGTCTGGGAGCACCTCCTCCCCGGCCTGGCCCAGGCGGCCTCGGTCAGTCGCAGAGCTGCGGACACAGCTTCAACACCAGAGCACAGCCGCTGGGCCGAGGCCTCTGGGAGCGCTTTCAGCCACCAACTCCCGGGCACCCAGAATAGGCCACCGGGGCTTTTCCAGGCAGCTCCCTTCCTTCACTGTCCCGACATCTCAGGCCACTCTGCCCACGCCCTCCGCAGAAGTAGCAATTTCCCACTGGAAAATCACCGCAGCCTGGCGGGGCCCGGGACACGCTGGAGCCAGGCGTCAGAATCTGAGCAAGTGCCTGCCTTTCTCGGGTGTGCACGGCGCGCTTCCTGGAGAACAGTGGTGGGTTCAAATCCTGTCTCTGCTCTGTCTCTGGGTGAACTCCTTAGCGCCAAGCCCTACTTTACCGACTTGGAGACTTGGGAATACTAGAAATACCTACCTCATAGGTCGCTCTGAGGATTAGAGGAGATTACCTCTGTGAAGCACTTAGCGCGGTGCCCAGCTCAATAAATGTTAGTTTATTATTATTGACCCCGGGACTAGTGGAGGCTGACTTTTTCTGTTTCTGGGTGTGAGCTCTGCGTCCCTGAGCCCACCGAGGCCGCAGATGGGGCCGGGTGGCGCCCGAGGTGGGGGGGCCGTGGCTAAACACAGGCGCGCGAATTTTGGGGGGAGAGCCGGGTTAAGGCGCTGTGTTTGGGGCCGGGCTCTGGCGGTTACGTTACCTCGAGCACCAGCGACACTGCGCTCTGGGCGTGTGCGTCTGTCCCGAGCCGTGGTGTTGAGGCCTGTGCGTGTCAGGAGCCTGGTGGCCGTTGACGCGCCTGCGGGGACCTCACCTGCGCTGGATTTAGATTTCGGTGGGGACAAGGACCTCCAGTTCACCTGACAGATGCGTGGTGTCCACGCTGTGTACACAAACCCGAGCAAGACCGGAGTCCCGGGTGCTCGGCCTCCTGCTCATCGAACAATTTTCGCTATTAATGGTTATTTTATTTATATCGTTAGAATTGTCCCCCGGGGTCTGTTTACACCAATGTCTGGCCGTCCCGGCCGCAGTGTTTGGACAGCGGATTACACTAATGGATGGCGAGCTGGGGGGGGGGGCGGGGAGGAGCGGCTGGAAACGGGGCTCCGGGGCCGGGCAGCCGCGCGGGGTGGGCCGCGAGGGAAGAGGGAGCAGGCCCCTCCTGGGTTCGACCTCTGACCTTAGGAGGGAAGGAAACGTGTCTGCTCGCGATAGGAAGCTTCGGCCTCCGGTGGGGTGGAGGCTGGAGGTGACTGCTCCCGGTGTGTGTGTGTGTGTGTGGGGGTGTGTGTGGGTGGGTGTGGGTGAGCGGGAGAGAGAGAGAGAGAGAGAGAGGGAGAGTGAGCGGGGTGGGGGGGTGCTCTCTTCTCTCAAGGCTGATTGAACACTCGAGGTCGTCCCGCTTGGGTGCGCACACGTCAACAAGTAAACAAGACTTGGAGCTACCAGGACGGCGGCCGCTTTGATTCCCCCTGTCGGTGGCGGCCAGCTTAGTGCTTTGGCCTCCAAATCCGGATTATGGCTGAGCCCCGGGCGCCTGGCGGCCGGCATGGTTAGAGCTGCCTTCAAAGGGGGCCGCCCAGCAAGCGCGCAGCTCCTCAAACTGGAGAGGCTCCACCGCACCTGGCCCTAGGTGTGCACCCGCACGCCCACTGAGCACTCGGGGGCAAAACGCGGCCTGCGCACCCACCCTGCGCGGTGGAAGGGCCGCCATTGGAAAGCCGGCAAGTGGCACGCTCGCTGGTGCCCAGGACCAGGGAAGGTTTTGGAGACCTGGCAGCCCTCAGCTTGAAAAGACTAGGCCTGGAATTACTGACGTTAGAGCCAAACATCTTTACTACAGGGCTAGGGTTGGTGTGTAAAAATATCTCACATTTAGTCAGCATTTACTATGCGCCAGACACCATGCCAAACATTTGTATCCTCCCCAAAGATCCTAGGAACTATTATCCCATTTTACAGAGGAGGAAACAGAAGGTTTAGGTAATTTGGGCAAGGTCTCACAGCCAGCGTGGCACTAGGACCCGAACATGCAGTACACTACAGGACTAGAACGGTAATCGTTCACCTTTTGGGGTTGCAGCACCTGTTTGGGACCTGATGTAAGCTATGGACCCTCTCCCCGGAAGAATGCGCATGGGCACATGCAGCCCTCTGTCAACAATTCCAGGTGCTTCTTGGAACCCCCTAGGCGCTCCCATGGACATTTAATCATTTTGGCTTTACAGGTTATAAAAATCGCGTTTGATATAATTTCTTAATTCTGAACATAGACTAGGAAGGTAGTACTTTTTATATCCGTTGTGTAACGGAAGATTCCTGGAGTTCAGAGAAGTAAAGTCATTTCCTCAAGATCACACAGCTAGTAAATGTGGAGTTGAACTCTCAGGTCTTCGGACTCTAGAGTCTCTCGGTGCACCACTTCAGTCTCCCCAGACCCCGAAGTTCTCCTTTTGCTTCCCTCTTGGCTCTCACGTTCTCTCCTCCGCTGGGAAGACGTGGGGCCAGCCCCTTGGAGGATCTGGGTTTTCTTGGGGGCCTCCGCAAGGTACTCGGCTGGTGGGGGCGCAGCGCCAGGACCCCGTTGCCCTATGCTCTGTGGGCCGCGCTGCCAGGACGCGCGCTCCGGTAAACGGTTTATCTAAAGAGAACTTCTGTTTCTCGTTCGCTGTCGGGAGTTGCCCTGCAGCTAGCAATGAAAAATGCGCCTTTTCCCGAGACTCTGGCGCTGGTGATTTATGTGGGAACCGTCCTCACCCGCGCGGCCTGCGCCGCTCAGCCGGGCCTAGGGGGTGCAGGGCGAGAGCCCGCCTGGAAGAGAAGCCGGTGCCTCGCCCCTTCCAGCGCCCGCTTTTACGGCGCCCCCCTTCACTTCTACCTCCAGGACATTTTACAGCCGCTCCCCCAGGGAGCTGAGCGCTTTATCGCGGTAAAGTAAACACCATTATCCCAGGTCCATTAACACGGAGATTTTGGCGTTGTAAATAGACTGCGAGAAGGAGAAGAGCAGCCCCCGCAAACTCCCTTGTAAAACGGTGAAGGTTCTCCAAGATTTATGGCCCCTGATCGGGCCCCCAACCTTCTAAGAAATCCCAATTTTGACCAAAGCCAGAAGGTAGGGCATTACCCCAACCTAGAAATGCCGCCCTGGGTGTTAGGACTTCAAGGGTAGGGAGTCCCCAGGACACGTCTAGCCCAGCCATTAATTTTCTTTAAGTCACAACCCCAGGAATGCTGATTCCTTTCCGGCTGTAGGGGCACAGATAAGCTCCGCAGGTCCCCAGGAGCTCTTAGAGAGCAACCAGTGTAGATGGTGCCAGGGGCCAGAATGCTTGTGTTTCAGGCTCCTTTCCCATTTGTAAACTGGATGGTGCTTTCCGCAGCTACTTAGGAGTCTATAAAGCACAGGAGAATTATAACTGGTGGGCACTGCCCAGGCACCCTGTGACCTGGGGCACTCATTTTGCCAGCTTGTATGGTCTTGCTTCTGCTTTTCTTTCCAAAAGGAAATACCCTCCTTATTTACTCTTGAGCCAGCCGGTATATGAAATCAAGTCAGGCTGATGGTTCTGGCACCCAGCACAGGAGACAGTCCTCCTTCTCTGCTTGAGTTTCTCTTTCTGATGAATATCTAATGACCTGTTCTGGGAAGTTTCTGCTCATCTGGAGTGTGGTTTTCTTACCCCCTCAAGTCAATATTTATACTGACAAAACAGAGGATTTTGAACTAGGAAAGGTGTCTCTGATTGATTGAGAAAACAAAGAGATAAACAAATTCCCCAGGCCAGGCTAAGGGAAGCTTCAGTAGAACCTAGACTCTCCTAACCTTTACCAAGGTCACTTTCAGGACATAGTCCGTGCCTGGAGGCAGCTCCTTCTGTAGCCCTGAGAGTTCAGTAATTCTTGTGAGATCTTCCACCTGGCTAATGAGTTGGCTTTTGGGGAGGGGCAATAGAGAAAAAGCAGGGAGCAGAAGGGTGACAGAAATTGGTTTTGGTCCCTTAGTGTAACTGATTCTATCTAGAGCAAGGTCTTTTAACCATTTTTTTGTCCCTGTGCCAAGGACCCCTTTGACAACTTTGACAAAAGTTGGTCTGGTGAAGCCTATAGACACCCCCCCCCAATAATATTTTAAATGCTTAAAATTGAATATATACAATGATATTAAGATACAGTTTTCAAAATGTTTTTAAAAAATTTATTTATTTATTTTAGAGAGAGTGAGAGAAAGACAGAGCATGGGGGGGGGAGGCCAAAGGGAGAGAGAGAGAGAGAGAGAGAGTCTCAAGCAGACTCCACACTGAGCATGGAGCCCATTGCAGGCCTCCATCTCAGGATCCCAAGATCAAGGCCATAGCCAAAACCAAGAGTTGGATGCTCAAGAGACTATGCCACCCAGGCACCCCAGTTATCAAAATGTTTTTTTTAAAAATAGTGATATAGTAATATATGTGCTTCTTTTTTAAAAAAATATTTTATTTATTTTTTGACAGAGAGACAGTGAGAGAGGGAATACAAGCAGGGGGAGTGGGAGAGGGAGAAGCAGGCTTCGCACCGAGCAAGGAGAGCCTGATACGGGACTCGATCCCAGGACCCTGGGATCATGACCTGAGCCAAAGGCAGATGCTTAACGACTGAGCCACCCAGGCGCCCTTATATGCTTCTTTACTGATTCAATAACAGAAGCTAGTGGCGAGTCTAATAACAACCATAATTCAAAGTAGTGATGAATATAAATGGAATTCAAGGTGTCTGCTGCAGCAGTAATGTGCTATGACAATATGAAGGATTTCTATTGGTGACAAAGTCACAGGTACTACTAATACTACTGAGTTTGTTACCTACATTCAAAACTAAAGGAAGTGCTAAATTACAGTTGGAACTGATAAAAAATAAAGATATATATTTTTCCCCTTTCAAGGTCATGAATCCCCTGAATTCTATCCTCAGGTCCCTCGGGAATCCATAAACTGCCAGGTTAAGAACCACTGGTCTAGGATCAAATTTTAGACCATTTCATCTCAAGAAGTGGTCTTTGGATCACCTACAACAGAATCTTCTGGGGGTGTTAGAAAATTCTGGGGCCCCTTCTGAGATTTGGGGAGACCCAGAAAAGTGTATTTTAAACTTAATAATCAAAGGATTATTTTCATGCCAAGTCTATCAGGACTTCACTGATCAGCACTTTGGTTGGCTGCGTGGATGATATAAGGAAAGAAGACCCCCTGGAGAGCTGAGAGGTGGGGTGGCAAAGCGGGGGTTCTCGGCAAAAGTTCTACCATCACTTTGAGGTGGTACACAAGGAATGTGGAGGGCACAGCAAGCTGGGGCATGGAGAACACCAGGGAAAGAAGCTGGAATGGGACATTTTGGTGAAGGGTTCCAACAGGTTGGCAGAGGCTCTGGAAAAACTTTGGATATTAACTGGTCCCCACCCCTCTTTGATCCCATATTTTACCCATCAGAATAGAAACTTGCCAAAGGCCACATTTCTAGTGGCAGAGGCAGGTCTAAATTCCACCATACTGAAATGCCAAGTTTAGTTGTCACACTTGATGGTGGCTAGTTCAGGGCATAATTCATGGTCAGTGGCAAGCCACATCCCTGTGGCCTATGTAAACTTCTCCATCAGCTCTCTGTACTGGCTTCTTTTTTGTTTTCAGTGCTCCTGAA